AATTAAAAAAGTAGATCAGAGATATATTTATAGTAATTATGCAGGCAAATTTGCCTGCAAATCTTTACCAATTAAGGGATAAATATTCCAAATTAATGCTCATCCTAATACTAAATCTTGGATAATACAAATAGAAGTATATATTAGAAATTAAACTATTATTATATAATAGAACAGAAGAAAATTAATACTTAATCTGATTATAAAAATTTGCTAGTAGAAATTCTTATCTTCAAATAGACACATTCTTATATACCAAACCACAGTACAAAAAGATTACATAAGAACTATAGGTATAGTAATCATGTTAAATATCAATTGAAAATATTATATTTGCAAAAGAAACACACAATATAAGCAATCAATTAATAGTATAAAGCTGATTTGAAATATATCTAAAGCAAGATTTTAAATCAATAAGCTAAAGTTTAAACTAGATATATATAAATAACCTAATAGTGTTCTATATTATTGATTGCAAGTTCAAATATTATTTTCACAATTAGCATATTTTTTTTTTCTTTTTTTGCATATTATTGTCTAGAACTGCATCATTAGAATTGTGCAAATTTTGATGGGTACTAGTAAAATCTTCTAGTGTACTTTTGAGTTGTTTAGGCAGCCATCCACAGAATTTGTCACAAATAGATTACTAACAACAAGTTGAGATTCAACAACAGATTGAGATTCAACAGATTGAGATTTAACACAGTTATTTTCATTGTTTTTCTTTTCTGAAAGTTATAATTCATGTGTTTTAGATAAAATAAATCCTTGCATTATGTTAAAAAATTCATCATCACAGTTAAGTTTTATCATTAGATTTAATGCTTTTTTTGCTATTCCATAACTTTTCGATCATCGCATTTTTTCATTACTAGATTTTTGCAGTATAGAAGTAAATATATTAGTAACACAAAAATGAGACAAATACCAAAAATCAATTGCATGGTAAGTGTTATTAGATGCTAAAGCTTAATCAGATCTATACAATTGGATAGGCAGAATTGAAGAATTAAGATTCTTTCTTCATTTATTTTATTATTCTTGTACTAGCGACATGAAATTAATGAGATATAAAACCTAGCAATATTTGATTTCAATAAAACTTTCACAAAATATTGGCAAACAATTTCTTTGCTAACCAAAGTAAGGCAAGTATATAAATACATACTATTCTTAAGTAGTATAATATAATTTGTAAAATGACCAGAAAATATTCTCTGTAGTAACACAACCCAAATTTGCATAATATCATCATATTGTAAAGGTTGAAGTAATACTTTAAGACTTGTCTGACATCTCTTATAATTATCTTCGATATAACTACTCTCTATAATATTTTATAGTTCCAAAAAATCATATTCCAATCAAAAGATGTTTCAGTTAAATCATACAAAAAGCTTTCGAAAGCTGTTGTTGTTTAAGAGAAAGAACATGCAGAGTTAAATACTCCTGAATTAATGAATCAATGGTGGGAAATATTAACTTGAAATATGAGGTAAACCTATAAAGAGATTCATATTTTTTTGTTTATTTAACCTTGTGTATCATGCTTCTTTATTGAGATGATTTTGTATAGTATCAATTAGTTGTAATAATATTGAATAGTGAAACTTCCTTTTTAATAATTCTATTAATACTTTCAATTTTTTGGGTACTTTGAATAGCAGCAGTAAAACATGATTTTGTGTAGCAACTTGCCCAACTATAGTGTGTAGGATAAAGTGTTTTAAATATATAGTTAGATGCCTTAGGGAAAGGTGTAAAAATTTGACAAATTTTGTCCAATAATGCTCAAAATCAATTTCATTTAAACTGTTACAGGAATGATAAAAAAGCCTAAAGCATTCATCAAATTTTTTACTCATTATTCTCTTCAATTTCTTAATAAAATTGATGTTTAAGTGGAATATACAATAAGAATGATGTGTGTCAGACAATATATTTTACAAAGACACACTCATAGCTGGGTTAGCATTAGTGTAAATAGTCTTGGGAATCATTTGATTAGTTGTATTGTTTAACTGTTCTAAGACCCTAAAAGACTTATAATGTTATTATGATAAAAATAATGACAACAATATAAAAAAACATATACTATTCAAAAAAAGCTTGAGTCTCTTTTTCCAATAATGCTTGGCAACAATACATGAATATGTATTGTTGTCTATAATTAAAAACAGACATAACAGCATCTCATAATAGTTTGTTTTACAAGTATTATCAGATACTACAATATTATTATATTGTATTCACAATAAAACTTGTAATAGAAACTTCCAGAAAGTGCTGTTAATCTATTCTTTTCACCTTCAATGTTAGGTATAACTATCCATCTGGGGTCTTCTGTCTTTAAAGTTAATAACTGTTGTAAAGTTTCTGCAGCATTAGTTTTTAGTTTTTTATGTGATGGGATTCAGAACCATTAAATAGTATTGTACAAATCTTTCTTATCAATATACTTGTCTGGATGTTTTGCTTTTAAGAGATTGTATTGCATTTTAGCCCCTATGCCTTCTCCAGAACATATATAAAACTCTATTTCTTTTAGCATTCCTTCTTTTAATTTATAAAAACATGGTGCTGCTTGAATTATTATAGGATTCATTTTATGGTTATATTCATCAAGAAATAAAGTACAAACTATCTGAACAACACCTTTATGATTGTTAAAATTTACATGCCATTTACAATCAATTGCTGCTAAACAGTATTCATACTGTTGAGTAATATTAATAGCCTTTTTGGCATTATGAACTCATATATGAGAACATTTGTAGGTATGATGACGAATTTCTGAATAATCTGAATGAAAGTCATTTCTACTTCATCAAAAAAAAAGCCTTTGTACTTTCTATATAATTCTACAAATTTATCAATCTCATCTCATGTATTAAATAAAAGACCGAGATATAATTAAAGAAGACTTTTATATATTTCTTTCTCTTCTGGTGGACTATTTTCTAAATTATATTCTGATCTTCACAAACCTCTAATAGCAAATTAATTTTAGAACTAGAAGTTTGAAGATTGTAAATGAAATATTAATAATCATTTCTACTAATTAACACAAAACAGTTATTTAATAAACTGAATAGAATTATTAACTTTCTGAAGTATTTGTTTTGTGCCAAATTAGAATTTACTTCAGGTTCTACAGTGTATTCACTTAGTAATTATAAAAACAAATTAGTTTAAAGTTTAAATCTTTTTGGCATGTGCTTATATAACTTCTTACTAACTCTATGGAATATGAGTTCAATATGAACTCTAAATTGAAATTGTTTTCAAGCTCTACAGTGTTATTACTTTGTACAATTTAAAATATATTCTAGTTAGAAGTCATTTTAATATGTAACTGTCAATTCTACTAAGCTTCTAAAATTTTTGCTCTGTGACAATCTAAAGTTGTCTTCAATCTCTTCAATAATATTACTTTGTGATAATAAAAACATATTAAAATTCATTTAACAAATACATAACTATCAGCTTCCTACTAACCTTCCATAACTTGAACATCCTGGCAAATTGAAACTGGACTTTAGTTCTGTAGTAAAGTATCTTGGTAACAATTAAAAATAAAAATAGTTAGTTAGAGATTGTTTTAGCATATAGATGTTATCATTTTTTTTTTTTTTTACTAATCTAAAATTTTGCACCAAACTGAAGTTTGTTTTAAATTCTATGGCAGCCCCACTTGGTAATAATTAAAATTAAATCAGTTATAAAACACTTTACTAGGGTGTCTGGCACATTAAAAAAATTTAGCATACCACAGGTAGAGGTTTGACTCAGTCAAAATAATAGAATTCAAATATTGATTTGATTAATTTTTTTATATTCAAAAATCTATTAAAAAAATTTGAATATATATTTGATATATTCATTGAATATTTGATGAAATTCAATATGTATACATTTTTTATTTTTAATGGCACCATTTTATTACACACTATACTAGTAATATTTTTTGCTAAGCTAATTTTTTTTTAATTTGCTTATAATTAGGTTTTAGATTTCAACCAGTAAAAGTTAAAAGCTATAGTATTATAAAACATTATTTGCTTTAAGTTTCTCAAAATAAGTATAAAACCAAATTTTTGATAGTAAGCACTTATACCTTATAAAAAATTATTTATAAATTTATTTGATATTAAATTTAAAGATCATATTACAAGATTATACAAGTACTGAAATAGATTTAAAAAGATCATTCCTCAATATTTATTATTACACTATTTCTTATTTTTTATATTTTACTTTATATAATTTATTTTATTTAGCATAATTAAAAAAAATTTATATCTAATAGATTCATTTAAAAAATACTCTTTCAACTATCTTATAACAACATTTATAGAGAAAAGAGATAGAGAAGATAAAATTAAAAAAAAAACTCACCAAAACTTCACATATTTGAATTATAAACATTTTCTAATTTATGATGATTTTGTTTTAAAAATAGTATTTGTTCAAATAACCTGAGATTTAGCATTGTTCTTCTAACAGTTATTAGATTGCTTGTGTCACTAAAAAGTTATTTACTTGGGGTTGAGATAGGGGTATTGCAAGATATTGCTTGGCAAGTATGCTTAATATGAGAAAAAAGACTTTTTGAAAATTCCACCAGTAAAAAAAATTAGATTTATAGAAAATTTTAGGTAAAAAAAGGTAATGAATAAGTTTATCATTTGGTACTTCAGAAGTATTTTGTATAAAAATTGATTTGAAAAAGGTCTTATGATAAATTTGATATTGCTTTTTTTATTATTTTTAGTTAAAGACTGTTTCTCATTAAAATTTAAAAGCAATGAAGATTGAGAAAGAGATTTTATATTATTATATTTTTCTTGAAGGGCTACTTCAGCTTGGTGTTGTTGACTTTAAGATGCAGATCTTAATTTTTTAAACCTAGAATCTAGGAAACATGTGATAATTGCTTCATTATCTAACAAGTCCCAATAGTGTAAAAAGGCACTATACAACGAATTTTTATTTTTTGGTTTATATCAATAACATTAATAGGTGTATTGATTTTAATTTTTTTTTCTTTAGGACCATCTTCTTCCTCTTTATGAGCATTAATAAATCTAATATTATCATCGAATACTAGATTAGTTGTTTCAAAATTTAAGGCATCTTGTTCTTCTAAATTGCTAGCAGAACAATCTAATCTTTTCATTAATTCTAAAATAGAGGGAGTCATGAAGGAAATTGTAACACATTCAGAACTGCCAAGTTCTTTCATAATTTCAAAAAAGGGACCCGAAATTTTTACAAGATTACACATTAAATTCTATTCATCATTAGTTAACTGTATTTCCTTTAATCATTTTGCATTTTTTCTGAATTTAGGGCAGTTAAAACAGTTAATGTTGCTAAGACAATATTAATAGTATCTTTAAAAAGCAGAAGACATTTTCAAGCAAGAAAAGATGAATTCTAACAAGTAGATACATCTATTTTTGTACAAAGATATGTTGAGGTTTTCATAATTATCTATTGTATAAATATTTTAGTTATTAAATAATATTAATAATATATATACAGTCAACTATTGATATAATGAATATATATATAGTCATCTCCTCTATAGTCACCTCCTCTATAATCACATTATATAAAAAACCCTTCTTTATCATATTTTATACTCAAATACAAATTACTAGTAAACATATAAAAACTATCTCTATATAAGCACAACCTCTTTATAAGCATATTTTTTAAAAAATTTATTAAGTATACAAAACGTGTGATTATAGAGGGGGATAACTGTACAACAGATAAGAAATATAACAGTTTCAAAATTTAAAAATTTATTATTAATCTAAAAAATTCATTATATCAGCAGTTGACTGTACAAATAGAAATTGGTATAAGATTATTAATAAAATTTCCAGGATATAATAAAGCATTTAAGCTACTTTAGATTGAGCTAAAGTGTTTATTGTTTTATTTTAGCCTGGTTAGTGAAGTGGCACATATTCCAATTATTTTTAATAAATATTAACATTACATCTTTATCTGAGATCCTTAGTGTTTTTTGAGCATCTTCAAGCTGTTCATTTTGTTTCAGTGTTATGAAAAAGTAGATTAATTGCTTGGCCTATACTACAAGTACTTCAGCAGGTATCAAACCTTTTCCAATGACTAGCTATAACATATGCACTAAACAAGGAATTTTTCTACATTGTCCATTTTATTAATTGCTGCTTTTATATTGGCCCTATTACCACTCATAATTGAATAAACTTTTTTTGTAAGACCCCACTTTTCAATTATCTTTTTTAATTTATTTTGGATAGTCTTAGCAGTATGAGGATATCTAATATATGTTAAAGAAAGCAGTATTTTGAAATTAAAATCAAGCCATGAACAGGTAATACCAAGATACCCTTGTCTATTTCGAGATGTCTACAAATTGGTTATTAGTGAACAAGATATTACAGAATCCTTAAGCTTTTCCCACAAGATTTTGTAAAAATTATTATATAGAGCATGAATTAGTTTTTTATGAACTCACAAAAGTTAGAGCTTACTGCAAGACCAATTGGTTGTATATTACAAATAAGAAACTTAACAAGTGCTTTAGTCAATTTGTCATTTTTAGATTTAGTATATGGATAGGGGCCAGATCTTGCAAATAAATCAATTGTGGTTTGTGTAGGCTAGATAATATAATTTTATTAATTATTAATTTATTTTAATAATAAAAGCAAATAATTTTTGTAAAAATAATTCATATATCATCTTGTTTATAAAATTTTGGTCCATTTTTTGTGATACTATGAATATTTGATAAATCATTTATTAGATTCAAGGTTAACCTGCTTACTATTCTTAACTATGTATTGTATTTTTCTTCGGAATCATTCAATACAAGACAAATGCCATACGTGACTTCAATATTGACATTTTTAGACTTTTAATTACTTTTTCAGAATCAAAATATTTTTAGACCCAGCTTTGCTTTTTTGAGCTGCCTTTATATCTTACTTTTGTTTTTTTATAAATTAGCTTTTTAGGTATTTTGTTATTGCTTTCTTTGCTTGCGCTTGTGTTTTCTAAAATTTGGCTATTAGATTTATTGACAGATAGTTTATCAGATATCTGAACCAATAAATAGGACTGTAAACTGTCTTTTTCTATGAACTCAACGATTTGGGCAAAATAAGTTAAAAGATAGATTTTTTAAAGTAAAGGATCTTATATTTGAAATTTGAATTAAATATTTTTTATTAACTAGATTCTTTGTTCTTTTATATCTTACAAGAAGATTTTAATTACATATTATCTCATCTATTTTACATGTGAATCTCAGGTGAAGATCAAGAAAATTCATAGTAACTGATAGCTTAGGCTACAAAAAAGGAGTATCTATCTAATTTTTCTTTATCTGCAATTTTTAAAAATATTTGAGTGCTTCATATTTCTATTTTTATTTGAATTTGTTTACTAATTTACTTTCTATTTCTTTTTGGCATAAATTTGAAAAATTGAATATATTTTAAAGAAAATTAATATGAGTAAATTCAAATAAAAATGAAATATAAAGTATTATGTTGAAAATTATGAATGTGAATAAATTAATAACAACAAATTGGAATA